TTTGCGGTTCAGAGGTCACTGGAAGGGATACTGGGAGGAACTGGGGGTTGTTGGACACCCTGGGATAGCACTGGGCAGTAAAGGGGTTTCCTGGATGCTCTGGAGCTGCAGGGGGAGGTCATTGGTCCCTGGGTTCAAACTGCAGGAGCATGAGGGGTCACTGGACACAGGTAGGGATGTTTGGGGGGGGTCCCTGCATATGGGTAGGGCCGCAGGAAGGCTGTTGGGGTCCATGTGGAATGCAGGGGGGGCTTGTGGAGGGTCTGGCCATGCTGGGATTGTTGGGAGGTGCACTGGATACTTTGGGGGTCCCAAGGGGGACACTAAGGAGGTCACTGTGTGCTTCAGGGGTACAGGAGACCGTGCTGGAGGTGCAGGGAGAGCTTAGGGGTCTCTGAACATTTTGCAGGTGGGGAAGAGGGAGCCTTGGGGGTGCACAACCACTGCAGAGATGGAGGGGAAGAGGGTTCCCGGACACTGGGGGAGCTGGTTTTGGGGTGCCTGGGTACAGACTGCAAGAGGATGGGGGGTCCCTGGTCATGCTGGGAGGGACTGGGGAGGCTTGGGGGTCCCAGAGAGAGGTAGGGCTGCAGGAGGGCTGTTGGGGTCCCGAGTGTAGGGGGGGCTCAGGGAGAGGCTGGCCATGCTGGGGGTGCAGGAAGGGTCCTGCCCCCTGGGGGGGGCACACAGCAGCCCCCGCTCACCTGCAGCCCTTGCTCTTTGGGCACTTGCCTCTTGTGCTCCTCGTCCGCCTTGTTCCCGATGAGGATTTTCTGGACGCCCTCAGGTGCGTACTGGGCGGGGGAACTGTGTAAGGACCCCCCAACACACGGGGAACCCCCAGACCTCCCCTCATGAACCCCCACCTCATCCACATCGCTGGCCCACTTCACGATGTGCTGGTAGGAGCGCTCACTGCTGATGTCGTACACCAGGAAAATGCCCTGCAGGGGGTAGGGGGTGGCTGTTGACACCCTAAAACTGTGCCTCAGTTTCCCCCCTCCTGTGTACCAGGACGGGGAGCCCCCATACCTGAGCCCGCCGGTAGTACTGCTTGGTGATGGTCTGGTACCGCTCCTGGCCGGCTGTGTCCCTGCCCAGGGACAGCGGGTCAGTGCCACCATCATGGCATGAGTTTGGCAGGGCTCAGCCCTTACCTTGGGTGGGGGGAGCAGGACTCAGACCCCCCAAAATTTCTTCCCTCTTGCCCCCGGGATCCAGTGCTGCCACTCACCAGATCTGTATCCGCACCTTGATCCCATCCACCTCGATGGTCTTCATCTTGAAGTCGACACCTGGGATTGGAATGGGGTGTGGTGTCCTGGTGTTTCCCTTTCCAGGAGATGCTGTCACTGGGGGCCCTGTGGTTCCCTCACCCCTCCTGACCCACCCCACACCCCACCATGGCCTGGTGCTGGTCCCCACACCCAGTGCCTGGCCTTGCAGGAGGCCCCGGTGCCAGGTGCTGATCCCGGTGCTCCCAGTTCCCTGGTGCTGTGGCTGTCCAGTTCTCCCAGTTCCCCAGTGCTGCGGCTTCTCGGTGCTGTGGCTGCCCAATGCTCTCAGTTCCCGGCTGCATGCTGCTCCCAGTTCCCCTGTGCCAGAGGTGCCTGGTCCTCCCGGTCCTCCCAAATCCAGGATTTCCTGGCTCCCTGATGCTCCCGGTTCCCTGGAGCCGCGGCAGTCCAGAGCCCCCGGTTTCCCAGTTTCCCTATGCTGCAGCTTCCCGGTGGTCCCGGCTTGTGGATGCCCACAGTTTTACTGTTTCTCGATGCCCATTGCTTCCCGGTTCCCCGGTGCTGCGACTCCCGATGCTCCCGGTTCCCCGGTGCCCACAGTTTTCCCTCTCCCCGGTGCCCAGTTTTCCCGCTCTCCGGCTACCTGTTTCCCCATGTTCCTAGTGTTGCAGCTCTCCAGTGCCCACGGTTAACCCTTTCCCCGTGCCCCCGGTTTTCCCGTGCCCACCACTCCCCGGTGCTCCGGTTCCCAAGACTCCCTGGTGCCCTGGTTTCCCGTTTCCCCCATCCTGTGGTTTCCCGGCAGTTCCTCGGCAGTCCCGGGTCCCCGATGCCCACGGTTTTCCTGTTCCCTGGGTTCCCGTTTCTCGGTTGCTGCGCCTCCCGGTTCTCCAGTTCCCACGGTTTTCCCGCTCCCCGGTTGCCCATTTTCCCGTTTCCCCGGTGCTGCGGCTCCCCAGTACTCACGGTTTCCTGGTGCCCACGGCTCCCCAGTTCCCCGGTTTCCCTTTTCCCCGGTAATGCGGCTCCCAGTGATCCCGGTTACCCGGTGCTGCGCCTCCCCATTGCTCCCGATTCCTTGATGCTCCCGGTTTTACGTTTCCCCGGTGCCGCGGCTCCCCGTTTCCCCGGTGTTCCCTGTTCTCTGGCTTCCCGTTTCCACGGTGCTGCGGCTCCCAGTCTTCCCGGTTGCCCGGTTCCCCGATGTTCCCGTTTCCCCGGTGCTGCGCCTCCCCACTGCTCCCGCTTCCCCGATGCTCCCGGTTCCCCGTTTCCCCGCTCCCGCCGCCGCGGCCGCCGTGCGCTGCCGGTGCCGGTACCGATGGTGGAGATGTGGGCGGGGTGGAACTGGTTGTCGGTGAACCGGCAGAGCAGGCAGGTCTTGCCCACGCCCGAGTCCCCGAGCAGCAGCAACCGGAACAGCACGTCGTACTGCTTGGCCATGGCGGGCCCGGGCCGCCGCCGCCGCCGCACCGGGGCCGCTCCGGGGCCGCGAGCTGCGCCGCCGCCGCGCCGGGCCGGGCTGGCACCGGGGGATGCACCGGGGCGGGGCGGGGCGGGGGCGGCGGCGGCGGGAGGGGGCACCGGGAGGGGAAACGAGGGGGGCGACACCGGGGATGGACCGGGGAGCGGGGAGGGAACACCGGGGATGCACCGGGAGATGCTGTGGGGAATTGGGCGGCGACGCGGGGGATGGACTGGGAGGAGAGCTGGGGAGAACGGGGGGATGGAGCCAGGAATGCACCGTAGGATTTGTTGGGGATGCTCTGGAAAGCCAGAGATGGGGGACAGGGGATGTACCAAGGGGAGCACCAGGGGTGTACCCGGGGTTGCTCTGGGGGCATCGGGAACAGGACAAAGGGGTGCAGCAGGGGACACTGCGGTGACACAGAGCTGCACCAGAGGGACTGCTGACACTTAGGAAGGATGGATGGCACCCAACAGGACCTGGGCAAGGGTGGACAAGGTTCCTGTGGGAACTTGTGAGGGTAAACAAGGCCAAGGACAGGGTTGGCACATGGGTCAGGACGATTCCCGAGAGAAGTGCAGGATGCAGGTGATGGGATGGAGAGCAGCCAAGATGAGAGGAATCTGTGGGGATGAGAGGCTGAATACGACCTGACAAGGTGTGCTGGCAGCCCTGGAAAGCCACCCATGTCCTGGGCTGTGTCACTGGCAGCATGGGCAACAGGTGAGGGGGGATTGTCCTCCTCTGTCCCACTCAGGTGAAACCGACATGGAGCATGGTGTCCAGCCCTGGGGTCCTTGTCACGGGAAGGACAGGGAGCTGCTGGAGCATGTCCAGAGGAGGCCACAGAAATCCTCCAAGGGCTAAGAACAGGCTGGGAGAGCTAGGATTGCTTGGCATGGAGAAGAGAAGGCTCAAGCGAGAGTTAGAGCCCTTTCCAGTTCCTACAGGGGCTCCAAGAGAGGTGGAGAGGGACTTGGGATGAGGCCATGCAGTGACAGGACAAGGGGGAATGTCTCCAAAGTGGAAAATGGGAGGTGTAGATTGGATATTAGGAAGAAATTCTCTACAGTGAGGGTGCTGAGGCACTGGAGTGGATTTCCCAGAGAAGCTGTGACTGCCCAACCTCTGGAAGTGTCCAAGGCCAGGCTGGACAAGGCTTGGAGCAACCTGGTCTAGTGGAAGATCTCCCTGTCCACAGTACAGGGTGGACCTGGATGGGTTTTAAGGTTGCTATCAACCCAACCCGTGGGTTCCATGATGATGCAATAAATGACGTCACATCACGATGACGCAGCGGCCCCTGGAGTGGCTCCTCTGCGCACGCGCGCCGGGGCTGGGCGTGCCCAAGAACGAAGGGGCGTGGTCATACGGGGAGAGGGCGTGGCCGTGTGCGGTGGGCGTGGCCAGAAGCGCGGCCGCGCGTCCCCTCCCGGCCGCCGTCGCCCGCTGCCCTCGCGGCCGCAGCATGGCGGGAGCGGCCCCCGGCACCGGCGGGCGGCGGCGGCTGCGGGACGATGGGCTGCGGACCTGCACCTCCGCCGAACAGGTGCCGGGGGGCTGCGCTGTGGGGCGTGGGGTGCCGGGGCCGTGGGGTGTGGGCTGCCAGGTGGGGCAGGGCTTTGGGGTGCCGTGGAATGGGGTTTGGGGTGCCGGGCTGCTGTGGGGCTGGGCTTTGGGGTGCCATGGAATGGGGTTTGGGGTGCCGGTCTGTGTTGAGGCTGGGCTTTGGGGTGCCATAGAATGGGGTTTGGGGTGCCGGTCTGTGTTGAGGCTGGGCTTTGGGGTGCCATGGAATGGGGTTTGGGGTGCCGGTCTGTGTTGAGGCTGGGCTTTGGGGTGCCATGGCATGGGGTTTGGGGTGCCGGTCTGTGTTGAGGCTGGGCTTTGGGGTGCCATGGAATGGGGTTTGGGGTGCCGGTCTGTGTTGAGGCTGGGCTTTGGGGTGCCATGGAGTGGGGTTTGGGGTGCCGGTCTGTGTTGAGGCTGGGCTTTGGGGTGCCATGGAATGGGGTTTGGGGTGCCGGTCTGTGTTGAGGCTGGGCTTTGGGGTGCCATGGCATGGGGTTTGGGGTGCCGGTCTGCCGTGGGGCAGGGCTTTTGGCTGCTCTGGGACGGGACTCAGGGGTGCCATGGCATTGAATGATCCCGATCCCAGTAGCCCCATGACACTACTGTCCCCATGCCCCCTGTGACAACAGCCCAGCAGTGAGCAGTGTTTTGGGGGGCCCGGCGGTGCTGCCACCCGCCAGCCACGGCAGCTTCCGCGGGACATGTCCCCCAGCAGCAGCTGGGGGAGGATGAGGAGTTCTGGGACAGCCAGACTCTCCCCTCTGTCCCTCTATCCTGACCCAGCCCCTGGCAGCTCCCCTGGGTGCTGGGACGGGATAAAAAGTGACTCTGGGTTTCCCAATCCATGGGGTTCTTCTTGCTCAATTGTGCCCTGGCAGGATGCAGTGCCATGAATGCAGGTCCCCGTGTGGCCCCTCCTCACCCCTGAGGCTGATCCTGGGGTATTTCCTTGAGGATTACCGTGGCTTAGAGTGTCCAAGTCCCCAGTTATCCCAGTGTGCGCGGGAGGAGAGTGTTTTCTATGACAGTGCTGAGCTAAACTCAAGCTGGATTTGTAAAGCAGCATGGGATGGTGCTGGATTCTGGCATAATTTGGGGCACAAAGCTCCTGGGAATTCCTACTTTGGTTTTACTGGGTGAGATGGGGCTGTGAATCAGATAAACCCCTGGGATGGGGTAGGAGTTGTGGGGCTCAGTGGGGATCATGTTTGGGACATGCAAAACCTCTTTCCAGAGCTCACTATAGTCTTTATTCCCATTTTTCCTGACAAGTCCAAGGTGGAGGACATCGTGCAGGAGGTCTATGATGCCTACAAGACAAACCATCACTCCTCACAGTGAGTATCAAAACTCCCAATAACCATAAATAACTCCCATCCCAAAAGACCCACTGACCCCAGTGGGTGCTGCAGGAGGATTCTGCCCCTCCTGCCACTGTCCCCCTGCTTTTTCAGGCCACCCTGCCTGCTCATCCTCTCCTCTCTGTATTCCAGGTACGTCCTGCAGCGGGAGAAGCACTTCCATTACCTGAAGAGGGGTCTCCGGCAGCTCACTGAAGCCTATGAGGTACCGGGAATGCCGGATGTGCCACCTGGAGCCACTGCCTGGGGTGCTCCCCTCGCCCTGGGGCTGTCACCAGGGCTGTTTGTTGCCGGGGGTTTGCCAGCCCCAGGGTGGACACAGCATTCCCTGTGTGCCCACGCTCACCCCAGCGATGCTCTGGGGGCTCTCCTGGCTGTCTCCTCACTCCTGCCTGCACCTGCCGTGTCCGGTGCCATTCCCTCACTGTCCCCTCTGTCCCTGCAGTGTCTGGATGCCAGCCGCCCCTGGCTCTGCTACTGGATCCTGCACAGCCTGGAGCTGCTAGACGAGCCCATTCCCGATTCGGTGGCCTCTGAGTGAGTGGGGAGAGCTGGGGGGACCCCACCATGGCCGCTGTCGCTGCTGGCCACCCGCGTGACTCTGGAGGTGCCACCTCCCGCTGTCCCCAGAGCAAAGGAGTGCTTTGTCTCCCTGCCACCGTCAATGCCGCCCATTCTTCCGGCGGCTTCCTCGTGACGATGGAGACGGGAGGGTGACACCCCCGGCTTCGACCTCGGGGGGATTCACGAGGCCGGGAGGGGATGCGTCGCCCCAGCGGGGTGACACAGGTGGCGCTGAGTCCCTTCCCCACCTTCCCGCAGCGTCTGCCAATTCCTGAGGCGCTGCCAGAGCCCCCAGGGTGGATTTGGGGGGGGTCCCGGCCAGCACCCCCACCTCGCCCCCACCTACGCCGCCGTCAACGCGCTCTGCATCATCGGCACCGAGGAGGCCTTTGGCGTCATTGACAGGTCCGGGGCCGGGAGGAGCTGGGTGGGAGCTGGGCTGCGTGTTCCCCCTCTCACAGCCCCTGGCTCCTGCAGGAAGAAGCTCTTGGAATACCTGTACTCGCTGAAGCAGCCGGATGGCTCATTCCTCATGCACGTGGGTGGAGAGGTGGATGTCAGGTGGGTGAGGGCTGCATGGGGAGGCTGGTTTGGAGGGAGGGCCTGGGCATTTTGGGGAGCCAGTGCTGGAAGCAGGTGCTGTGGTGGGGAGCTGGTGCAATCCTTGGGATTTGGTGCTGGGAGCTGGTGATGTTTGGGAGCCAGTATTATTTCGGGGAGCTGCTGCTATGGTGGGGAGCCACTGCTAATTTGGGGTACAGTTTTGGGCAGTCAGTGCTACTTTTGGGGAGCAAATGCTTGGAGCTAATGCCATTCTGAGGAACCAGTGCCATGGCAGGGTGCAGTTTTGTGGATCCAGTTGTGTTTTGGGGAGCTGATGGTGTTTTGGGAAGTGGCTGGTTCCACACTGGAGTACCAGTGCTGTTCGGGGGAGCTGGTACCGTGGTGGGGAGCCAGTGCCATGGGGAGGTGTAGCTTTGGGGAGCCAATGCTGTTTTGAGGTGCTGGTGCCATGGCAGGGGACCAGTGACACGAGCTACTGCCATGGCAGGGTGCTGTCGCAGGGAGCCAGTGCTGGGTCAGGGACTTTGTGCCGTTTTGGGGAGCCAGTGTAATTTTAGGGAGCTGGTGCCACTTTGATGGTGCCACAGCTGGTTCCAGCGCCACATCCCTGAGCACCCATCTCCTGAATCTCTGGGCACCCTTTTCCCGCAGGAGCGCCTACTGCGCCGCCTCAGTGGCCTCGCTGACCAACATCCTGACACCTGCACTCTTCGCTGGGACGGCCGAGTGGATTGCCAGGTGAGATCTGGGGACAGGTGGGGGACAGGAGATGACATTCCTGGTGTCCCTGCTGCCCTGACCCTGCTCCCACAGGTGCCAGAACTGGGAGGGTGGGATCGGCGGCGTGCCGGGCATGGAGGCGCACGGCGGCTACACTTTCTGCGGCGTAGCCGCGCTGGTCATCCTCAAGCAGGAACATCTGCTGAACCTCCGGAGCCTGCTGGTGAGACACCCCTCTTGGGATACTGGGGCTCTCATCCTGCTGGGGAGCTTTGGTCCCACACTGATTCCCATCTCCCCGCAGCACTGGGTGACCGGGCGGCAGATGCGCTTTGAGGGCGGATTCCAGGGCCGCTGCAACAAGCTGGTGGATGGGTGCTACTCCTTTTGGCAAGCCGGGCTCCTGCCCCTGCTCCATCGGGCACTCCATGCCAGGGGTGAGTTGCCACAGGCTTCTTCTGTCCCCAGAACCGCATCTGGAGGGATTTGACACCTTCTGTGGTGTTCCTCCTTTGGGTTTCCCTTCCAGGCGACCCAGCGCTGAGCATGGCACACTGGATGTTCGACCAGCTGGCACTGCAGGAATACATTCTCCTGTGCTGCCAGTGCCCAGCTGGCGGGCTGCTGGATAAGCCAGGAAAGTGAGTGTGGGGGGAAACACAGGGCTGCCTGGCACCAGGAGTGCCCAGATGCCCCCTCAGCATCCCAGCATCTCTTTGCATGCAGATCCCGGGATTTCTACCACACCTGCTACTGCCTGAGTGGGTTGGCCATTGCACAGCACTTTGGAAGTGGAGATCTCCACAATGAGGTGGTCCTGGGTATCCCTGAGAATTGCCTGGTAAGTGCTAGGCATTGCTGGGGAGGGCAGGGATGAGCTTCCAGCACGCCACAGCACTGAGAAAGGCAGATCCAATGGCAGTGAAGAGTTGGGGTTCAGCCTGGAGAAGAGGAGGCTTCAGGGAGAGCTTAGAGATACTTGAAGGGCTAAAGAGCAAGGGAGCTGGAGTCAGGCTTTGGACAAGGGCTTGGAGTGATAGGACAAGGAGGAATGGCTCTAAACTGGAAAAGGGGAATTTTAGATGGGAAATTCTTCCCTGTGAGGGTGCTGAGGCCTTGGCACAGGCTGCCCAGAGAAGCTGTGGCTGCCCCATTTCTGTAACCGTCCAAGGCCAGGTTGAACCAGGCTTGGAGCAACCTGGGATGGTAGAGATTCCCTGTGCACAGTGGGCTGGACTAGGTGATCCTTAAGGTGCCTTCCCACCCAAATCATTCCAGGGCTCCATGATTAACATCCTCCATCCCTCTCTCTCCCACAGCAGGCCACGCACCCTGTCTACAACATTGCCCCGGAGAAGGTGGCGAGGGCGGTGATGCACTTCCTGCAGTATCCTGTGCCCAGCCTGGATCCGGCACCCGCTGCCCAGTAGGGGGGTCCTGCTGCTGGCTCAGGGGGCCGAGCCCCGGGAACGAGCGGCACAGCCCAGCCCAGCCCATCCCCACGGCGGCCTGGCCAGGCAGAGCACGGCGCTCAGGGTGCTAGCAATACCAAAATCCAGCCTGCTCCAGGCTGGGTGTCCTGCTGCCATCCTGGCCAGAGCCCAGGTGGGACACGGGCTCTGGCAGAGCTTTTTGGCATCAATAAACCAGAAGTCACACCCGCCGTGTGCTGGTGGCCCCGGGGATGCGGGGCAGGAGGCGATGCCACGTCTGGATCCGGTGGCACCAACTTCCCCCATTCCAAGAACACACGGTAACCACGGGGGAGGATAAAATAAGTGGAATTTTGGCTTTTTTTGTTTATTATTTATAGTCTTATAGTAAAGGGAAGCCTTAACTTGCAAGACAACTCTGGGCAGTATGTACAACATACCTTAGATCCATGGAATGGCATCAAAATGGGGGGAAAAGGGGCACCTACGGGGCAGGGATGGGCCACTGGAGTTCGGAAAATGTCACGGAGGTTGGGAAGGGTCAAGGGAGGGAAGGAGGAGGAGAGTGGGGAAGGAGCCCCCAAGCCTGGCTCTGTGCTCTGCCGACTCGGGCAGGTGGAGTAGCACACGGAGAAAATAAATAGGGAGATCCCCCCCCCAGTGCTTGCTCCATTTTGGGGGGGGCTGCCTGGCTCCTCCCCGTTCTGGACTGCACTGGTCCCCGGGTATAAATAGAAATGCTCCTATAAAACCAGGAGGGAAGGGGAGGGGGGTCGCTAGCGGAGGGGAGTTGGCGGGGGAGTCTCCCTGACCCCCCCAAGTCTTTCTGCTCGGCCTGGCCGGCTCCCCCCGGGGCCGGCGCGGTGGGAGCAGGGAAGGGGCCGGGGAGGGCTGGGAAGCTGCAGTCCAAGAGCTTCTAGGAGCGGAGGGAGCGAGTCCTGCCGCGGGCCGGGGGGCGGCGGAGGGGCCTAACTGGCCTCCATGCGCAGCTTCTTCCTGTTCTGCGGCTCCTCGGGCTCCGAGTCGGAGCTGGAGTCGGAGCCACCGTCGAAGGCGGAGATGGCACTGCCCTTGGGGTTGGTGTAGAGGCTGTTGTCCGCGGGATAGCTGGCCTGGAGCTGGGCGCTGGCTCGGGCCTTCTCCAGCGCACGCACTGTGAGGGACGGCACTGTGTCACCCCGGGCCTGGCCCTGCCTGCAGCCCAGCTCCCGACAGGCCCCAGCTCCCACCGGATCCCAAACTCTTCTGGACCCCAGCTCCCACTGAATTTTGGACCCTACCAAACTCTGGTCCTGCCAGACCTTAGCTCCCACCAGATCCCAACTCCCAGTGGATCTCAGCTTCCACCAGATCCTGAATTCTGATGGATCATATCTCCTGCCAGACCCCAGCTCCCACTGGATCTTAGATCCCAAATTCTCCTGGCTCCCAAGGCCTGCCAGGCCCCAGCTCCTGGATCTCAGACCCTGCCAGAGCCCATCTCCAGCCAGATCTCAGCTACCACCTTGCTGCTCCAGCAGCGCATTCTGCCGCTTGAGGTCGTCGATGTCCTGCTGGTGTGTGTGGTTTTTCCGGCGCATGTACTGGATGTACTCTGTGGCTTTGTCCAGGATTTGGGCCCGGGATGCCTGTTGCAATAGTGGGAAAAGCCAGAGGCAAGATAAAGACCTAGTCCAGGGGGGAAAACTGGAATTTTACCTGCCACATCCCACCCTGGCTCTGGTCCTCACTGGGGACTCCCGTGGCACAAGAGAGCCTGGGGATTGTCCCAAATTGAGGAGCCTGGACCACGGGTGGGTGCTGTCCGTGCCCCCAGCACGCTCCATAAACTCACCTTCTCTCCTTGGAGCGAGGGCACGGAGTCCCGCAGGCTGTGGAAGCTGTCCTTGATGTGGTCCCTGCGCTTGCGCTCCAGCGCATTGTGATGAGCCCGTTTGTCGGCCTGGGATGGGGGGCACAGGGGTGGCACCGGGAGGAGGCCACCACCTGCACCCCCAAAATTCCCTCTGGGAATCGCTGTGGGAGCTCAGCTGAGCCTCCAGGGCGGCTCCGTGGCTGTGACGCCTCCGGCTGGGCCGCGAGGGCGTGGGAAGGAGGCGGCTCCCGGTGCTTTCGGTTTCCCCAGCTTCCTGCTGCCGGGGCAGCTCCGGCCCCGGGGCGGGGGGTACAGCACTTTCCCCCTGGAACACGGTCACCTCCTCCCCATGTCACCTCCTCCCCTGCCCCCCGACCAACCAGGCACAACTCCCCCATGCCCTCTGTCCACCTCTGGTGTTGTTGCCCCTGTGCCCCTCCAAACGTAGCCCCACCCCCCCCAAATGACTCGGCCCCACATGTAACGCCCCCCAACACCCCCACTTTCCCCCAGAAACCTCCAACTCCCCCTCCCCTAAAGAGCCCCGGATCCTCTTCCACACAACCCCAGGCCCCATTGGTGTCCCCCCCCATATGACCCCCAGCTCCACAGGACACCCCCAAACCCAGCTGCCCCCAAAGAGACATGACTCCATGGATCCTCTTCTGTGTCACAGCCCCCAACCCACAGCCCAGAGGTGTCACCTCCCCAAGCCCAACCCTCCTCCCCAAAAGCCCCCCAGCCCTACTGGTGTCCCCCCATTCCAAGAATCCCATCCCCACAGTACAACCCCCAAGCCCAGGTTTCTCCCTCAAGACCCCCATCCCCACAGATCCCTCTCCATGTCACAGCCCCCCCAGAAGACCCCAGCCCCTCAAAAAGCCCCCCAACCCCACTGGTGCCCCCGTCAGCACCCCCGAACCCACTGATGTCCCCCCAACACCCCGATCCCCACAGGACACGCCCAACACCCCCCTCTCCCGCAGGATCCCCGTTCCCCCCGTCCCCTTCCATGTCACCCCCTCCCCAAATCCCGCCCCCCTCACACCCCCGCCCACGTGCTCCCGATCCCGGGGGCGCCGCGGGGCGGCCCCCAGCGACCTACCGCGGACTGAAACCTCGGCTGCTCCTCCTGAGGAGCCCCGACCCGGGCGAGGAGGAAGAGGAAGAAGATGGTGGGGGGGGGCGCCGCCATATGAAGGAAGAACACACACAAACCAAACATTACCACATTCTCAGAGCTCCTGAGGTAGGGAAGAGCCACGGGGGGTTATCCCAGGGATTGTCCCGGGGTTGGGGGCTCAACTCACGTCGCTCTCCACCTCGATGTCATCGTTGTCGCTCATCGCTCCCGCCCGGGTGAAGCCGCGGGCCGGGCCGCGCCGCCACAACAACAGCCCGCACCGCGCATGCGCGGAAGTCGGGGGGGGCAATGATGGCGCCGGGCGACGCGAACGGTCGCGGGAGTTGTGGTTTGAGTGGGGAGATGGAGGTGTCTTCCACGTGGCGGGGACTACAACTCCCGGCGTGCATCGCGCGGGGCAGCGCGGGGCAGGCCGGGAGCTGTAGTCTCCGTTTCGGGAAGGGGACGTTAAGGGTGCGCGGCCGGAGGATGGCGGAGGTGAGAGCTAAGGGCACGGAGGGAGGGGGTTTATTGAAGGAAAATGGGGGTGGGATAGGTCGGGAAGGCTGCGGGGCCGGCCTGGGGGACTGCAAGCTGAGCTGGAAGGGCTCCGGGACAACCTAGGGGGGCTGCAGGGTCTGCCTGGGGCGTGTGTGGGTTTGGTCTGAAGGGCTGTGGGCCAGTTTGGGAGGGGGTCGATCTGCCTGGGGGCTCCAGGTTAGTCCTGAGGGGTCTGGATGCTAATGGGCTAATATGGGAGGGCTGGGGGTCTGCCTGGGGTCTGCAGGACATTGTGAGGGGCTGCAAGCCTTGCTAGAGGGAATGTGCATCTGCTCAGGGGTCTGTGAGTCTCACCTGGGGGGGGGCTTTGGCCAAATTTGGGGGGCTGTGGATCTACCTGGGGGGCTTGAGCCTTGTATGAGGGGCTGTGGATTTGTGTGTGGGGGCTCTGGGGCTGGCATGGGGGCCTGCAGGTCTGACCTGAGTAACTACACCATAATTTGGGGGCTATGGGCCTGCCTGGGGTCTGCACCACAATTTGGGGGCTGTAGATCAACCTGGAGGCTCCAGACCTGACCTAGGGGATCCATGGGCCAGTGGGGGACCTTCAGCCAATGTGGGGGGATCTGGGCTGCTTGGGGGCTTTAGGCTTTGCTTGGGGGCTGCAAGCCTGACCTAAGGGGGTTTGCAGAGTTTTGGGCCCACCGGGGGGAGCTGTAGAACCCCCTCAGGTACCAAGAGCAGGCCCGGGACAGGCTCTCCCTATCCCAGCAGCTCCTCGTCCTCTTTTGGCAGCTCGTCCTCCCTGGTGGCCTCAGTTGGGTGCCTGTCATCATCCTCCTTGTCCCCGTCACCGTCAGAGCCAGTCTCATCCGAGTTGTCCTCCAGGTAGCGGTATCCACGTGTTTTGTGGCGTGGGCGTGGGATGCGGGGCAGCCGCACTTCCATGTTCCACGCCACCTTCCGCTCCATCCACAGGTATGTCCCCACCGCCACCACCAGCGTGAGCAGCATGATGGACAGCTTGGCCTGAGGCACATGGAGTTTTGGGATTGGCGTGGGGGTGTGTCCCCAAAAAGCCTGGAATCTCTCAGACTGGGCTGGGGCATATCTGGGACTTACCTTCATGGGCAGCCCCGACCACAGGTAGACGGCGAAGATAGCCAGGGCCTGCCACCAGTGGTAGATGGTGAAGATGAAGTCTTGGCGCTCCTTTTTCTTGTACAACATCCCTAGGAGGACTGTGGCAGAGACTGGAATCAATGTCCCCTTCCTGTGCCATTGTCCCCTTGGCGTGGGGGACAATCACAGTGAGTCCGTCCTGCGGATCCAAGGACTGAGGCCACAAACTCGTGGTGCCAGGGGACATGAGGAGAGAATGTGTGGAAAAACCTGGGACAACCCAGGCTGTTTTGGGGACCACCAAGGTGTTTTGGGGACAACAGAGGCTGTTTTAGGACCTTCCCACTACTCACTGCTGATTCCGGTCTTGTTGAGGGCGCTGCCGGTGCCCCAGAGCGCGGCAATGCTGTAGAGCAGCGGCGCCTGCGCCAGGTACCGGGGCTCCGGCGCCCAGCAGAAGAGCGTCACCAGGAGCACAGCGTGGATCAGGGCTCCAGCCAGGAGCGGGATGTGCCGGCGCAGGCGCAGCATGCACAGGGCCAGGCTGGAGCACACCGAGGCGGAGAAGCCGTAGGCCATGAGCAGATACGCCAGCCTCTCCAGCCCGAGGGCGCACACGCCGTAGTTCTGCAGAGAGCACGGGCTCAGAGTCACCTGTCCCCGCTCCATCACCTCCCACCCCGCCACAGATCCTACCAGGGAAAATCCCGTGCAGACAAAGAGCACCTCGAAGCCGCTGTAGATGAACAGTGGGAAGAGGTGCCGCAGGCGATAGTCCCGCATGTGCTTGAAGGGCAGCTGGAAGATGTTACCCCAGCCGATGCTGCGCATGTCGATCTCCTCCATGGGCCGGTACGCTGCGCCGCACAGCACCAGCACCTGCAGAGTGCCAGCAGGTGAGGTCCTGCCATCATCCAGCCCATCCCTGTCCCCTCCCGCCCCGGCGCTCACCACCAGCATGGCGAGGAAGGCGGCGGCCATCAAGGCGCTCTCCACGACGATGAGGTTGACGCTGCGGGGAAGGCTCTGCAGCACCGTCTTGTTGAAACCAGGCAGCGTGCCGTGGCTCAGGGTCCCTGCCGGTGGGGCACAGGCCGTGGTTAATCCCAACCGGGGGGCTCCCGGTGCCGCCCCGCGCCCCACCCGCAGCCTCACCGCAGTGCCTCACTGCAAAGAGCGTGTGGTTGAGTTGGTAGAGGTAGTTGTTGAGGAAGAAGACCATGGGCATCTGAGCGCAGACGAAGCTCAACTACAGGATGTAGAGGGGTGCACGCTCAGTGCTGCTGGTGTGGTTCCCCGCCCATCCCAGCCACCCCACCGGGGCTCACGTGGAAGCAGGAGTAGAAGATGGTCTGGAAGATGATGATGTAGGCATTGCAGGCGTCCCGTGGTGCCCGCTCCTTCTCCTTCTCCTGCTCCTCCTTGTAGTTAATGTACTCGTAGTACTTCTGGGCCATCCTGCATGGAGCAGTGGATCAGCCAGCACCCCATGCATGCCCCACCCACCCTGCCCCCCAGTACTACCGCATGATGTAGGTGCCCATGGAGGCCCAGAGGGGCACGATCACCATGCCAATGGCCACTGCAGAGGGCACCAGCGTGTAGTAGCGCTCCCAGTAGTTGCTGGAGACGAAGAGGGCATAGATACCAATTGCCAGGAACATGGCCCACTTGGTGCCAAAAAACCTGCCAGGGCAAGGAGAGGAAGTGTGGGTGCCATGCCAGTGATCCATGCTGGCCGGGAGCGTGGCGGGGCCGTACCTGATGAGGATGGGTGTGTAGAGCAGCGCTGCCACGGGTGTGACGTTGATGCCCATCAGCACCTTGCGGTCGATGTCCTCCAACCGGATATTGCTGTACTTCACCTCCCGGTAGGTCTCGTCATAGTGAAGGATCAGCTGCATCTGCAGCAGACCTGAGGGAGTCCGGGGGTGGTCACACCATGCCCTGAACACCCCGAGTTGTTCTGGGGGTCCCTGGGAGGTCCCATACCCAGGTAGACGCTGTAAGTGAGGGTGCCAGCCAGGCTGGCAGCCACCACGTTCTTGATGACACCGAGGCGTTTGCGGCGAAAGTACTTCTGCTCTTCTTCCTCCTCATTGTAGTCAGGGTGAGGACCCACAAAATCATCCAGCTGTGGGTGATTGCAGCTGTCACCCCTCGGGGATGGCCACCACACGCCTGCTTCCCTCCCCACAGGCGTCCCCCTGGTCTCACCTGTGTCTCTGTCCCCTCGGTGCCCAGCCTGGCGCTTGGCTCTGTCTTCGCCCCATCCTGGCAGCCGTTGATGTCCTTCTCCATTAGTGCTTCTGGAGAGCCCTGGATGGTGTCAGGGTGGAAGGGACCCTGTTGGCACACCAAGTCTTGCACCCATATGTTTTGCATCTCTGTGACCTGCACACACAGACCCTGCACCCTCATGCCCAGCACCCCCAGCCCTTGTACCCCGACATCCAGCACCGTGTACCCATGTACATGGCATCCCCAAGCCCTGAACCTCTGTGCACCCCCAGATCATGCACTCATGGTTGCACCCCTGTGTTCTGCACCCCTACACCTTCAGATCGTGCACCCCTGAATCCCGTGCCCCCTACCCAGCTTTGCACTGCCCAGAACTGCACCTCTGGGCTCAGCACCCCCAGCCTCCTCACAGCCCCCCGGCCCGGTCACACCGACCCCAGCCCTGCTTGCCCGTGCCGGAGCTTCTCGGGGCGGGGCGGGAGCTTCTTCCTCTTTCGGTTCGCACGGGCGGGACGGAGGTGGTTAAAGGGGCCGTTCCTGGACCCTCCCCTCCGCTCCCGGACCCCCCCCCGGTCCCAGCCCGCCCTCCTCAGTGCCCCCCACCCGCGGTTCTTCTCAGCACCCCGGCCTCTGCAGCGCTCCTCACGCCCAACCCGCACAGCCGTGACCCCCGCGCAGCCCCCCCTGCTCCCCCATCGCGCAGCCCCCCAGCCCAACCCCCTCCGCTTCCCTGTGACCCCCCCGCCTCCCCAGCGCTCCCACCAGGCCGCGGGGTGGGTGCTGCCTCCTCGGGGTGCCCGTGGCACTGGGTGCTGTGCCCTGCTGCTTTCGCTTCCCCTTCCCGGTCCGGGGGATGTGCCAGAGTGCTTGGGCGGGGGGACACCCCAGTCGGGGGGTGTAGGGCACGTGCCTATCCTGGTGTCACCCCAAAGCTGGGCTGGGAGGGTGCCCGGGTGCGTGGCACGGCGGGGTGCCCCGGGGCAGGGCGAGGGCACTGCTGGGCAGGGCGGACGGGGTGACTGACATCTCCGGGGCAGGATCTGGCCCAGCCGGTAGCGGGGGATTCTTGGGATGGGACTCCTGGGAGGGTGCTGGTTTGTGCAGGATAGGGGGGATACACATGGAACAGCCCCAGAAGGGTCATGGCAGTGGGGCAGGGGCAACACCCATCCTGAGGGCCCCCCACACCCCAGGCAATGGGAGCCACCCTGGGGTGCTGGGGCAAAGGGCCCTTCCTGGGAGCAGGATGAGTGGAGTCTATTGGTCATGGAACCCTTGGGAAACAGGATGAGGGGTGTTAGTGGGGTCCCTGTGGGTCAGGGTAGTCATGGTAGCAGCATGGCAGGTGTCTATTGATCATGGAACCCTTGGGAAGCAGGATGAAGGGTCTCTGTGGGAGCCCCATGGGTCAAGGTGGTCATGGGAGCAGGATGAGGGGTGTCTGTGGGACCCCCATGGGTCAGGGTGGTCATGGAGCAGGATGAGGGGTGTCTGTGGGACCCCCATGGGTCAGGGTGGTCATGGAGCAGGATGAGGGGTGTCTGTGGGACCCCCATGGGTCAGGGTGGTCATGGAGCAGGATGAGGGGTGTCTGTGGGACCCCCATGGGTCAGGGTGGTCATGGAGCAGGATGAGGGGTGTCTGTGGGACCCCCATGGGTCAGGGTGGTCATGGAGCAGGATGAGGGGTGTCTGTGGGACCCCCATGGGTCAGGGTGGTCATGGAGCCGGATGAAGGGTGTCTGTGGGGTCCAAATGGGTCAAGGTTCATGGTGGTGGTGAGGTGGCCATGGGAGTTCCACCATCCCAAGGGGGAGGTCCCATTCCATCCTATCCCATCCCAGACCTTGTCCCCACTGCCAGCCCCACGGAGGCGGGGCCCAGTCCTTCCCGCCCCTGGCCATGGGGCCCAGCCCCACAGCATTTAGGGACCCCCACCCCGAGCCTCAGCAGTGCCTGCCTGGCCTCGCGCTCCTCCAGGTTCCACACGAGCTCCCAGGTAAGCACTGCGGGGTCCCCAAAGCTGGCACTCCCTGCATGGCACCCCTGTGACACCCCCCATGCTGGTGGGGGCTGTGGGGCACAGGGGGTGTTCCCTCGAGGAAGGGTGGGTGTCTGGGCATGGAGAGGGAGAGGGTGACAGATGGGGGGCTGCAGCTCTGCTCCCCAGGTTTGGGGGTGTCTGGTCCCTGAGGTCCCCATGGGTGACCCTAAATCAGCAGGGCAGCCTGGGCAGGTCAGTGTCCAGAGGATGGCGATTATCCCGGGAATCCCAGGCATCTCCCAGGGCCTCTGGCAGCTGCTCTGGGCTGAGTCACCCCACAACCAGGACGGCCCCGAGCACCAAGCTGCTCTTCAAAGGTGCCGCGGGTGACTCCTCTTGGGATCGAGCCGGCACCTCCAGCACTTCCATCCTGGCATAACCCACGCAGTGTCTCTCTCTCCCCAGGGCCACCACGCTCTCCATGGAGACCGGCAGCTCCTTCCAACAGCTTGGCATGCAGCAGCCCCTCGAGCCCCCCAAGCAGCAGCTCCTGGGCTATGGCAAGTGCAGCAGCACGGGCAGTGATCCTGGCAAAGAGCCTGGGAAAGCTGCTGGGTGCAGTGGAAGCAGCGGGATCGGGAAGGGGCCAATGCCAATGGTCTGCAGCACTCCGTGGTGAGAGCGAGGGGCTGGGGGCAGGAGGGAGACAGGGAGGTGGGCAGGGGAAGCTGTGGCAGTGCCAGGGCAAAGGGGACCTCGGGTTAGTGCTGGGGGAAAAGTCTGAGGTCTGTGAGCCACCATGTCCCAGCATGGCCCAAGGGAGAAGACAGGATCTGCAGGGAATGGTACTGTGTTGGCTGTTCCCAGCAGCAATGGAGACCGGTGTGTGCAGACTCCCTGTGCTGTCCCCAGGGATTCTGGGGTCCAGTTTGATGCTGGAATGGGATAACGTGGATTTGGGATGACATGAAGCTCTGAGGAGGTAGAATGGAGCTGGGTCCCCTCTAACACCTCGTCCCTACAGTGGGAACCCCTATGCGGGGCTGGTGAGCCACCTGCGGGCATCCTGGCTCTCAGGGAAGACTCGGCCCATGGAATATCGTGTGGCACAGCTGGAGGCTCTGGGACGCTTCCTGGATGACAAGAAGCAGGAGATTCTGGAAGCCACTGAATTGGATATGGGCAAGGTAAGAGGGGCTGGGAATTGGGGGCTACCGGCATCACATCTTTCAAGTCCTTCATCACTCCCTTGTCTGGGTGTTGTATCCTTGTGAGGGTCTGGGCAGAGGGGTGTCGCTTCCTTGGGGTCCTGATTCCCCCTTGATGTGCTCCCAGGGTGGTGCATCTCTAAGTGCTGGATCTCTGCAGATCCAGGGATCGTGGAGGGTCTGTGCTGTTGATCCCATCCCTGGTGCTCTGAAACCAGGCAAAGGCCCTGTTGGCCTCTCGGTGACTGTCTGAGTGGAAGTGTTTCACACTCTGGTCTGCATCCTGGGGGTCCACGTGACCTCCACAAGGGTGACATCCTGGGGTGCTTCTGGCCAGCCCGGCACTCCCAGGATTACTGGCATTGTGCAATGTGCTGGCACTGCACATTCCTGCCAGGGCCTCCAAGGGACTGGTTTCTCTGGCATGGTGGCATGGGCAGGGTTCTGGATATGGCTCGGGGTATTGTGGCATGCCAGGAGCTCCTGGATGATCTCCTGGAGATCCTCCTGATCTCCACGCTATGGATAATTCTAGTGGTCACAGCTCATCATCTCTGGAAGTGCTGAAGGCCAGGTTGGATGGGGCTTGGAGCAACCTGGGCTAGTGGAAGGTGTCCCTGCCCATGATGGGGCAGAATTGGATGAGCTTCAAGGTCCCTTCCAACCCAAACCATTCCAGGATTCCATTATATAATCCTCACCTCTTTGTTCAGCATCAGTGAAGTGTCCATGCCCTCAGCAATATCTTTCCCTGTCCCACCATCTCCTAAGGCTCCTAATTGCCTTGTTTGTTGGAGGCGAGGCCTTCTCCTTCAGCCAGGCCTTGATAGGCATCAGTGCTCTGAGTGTGTCCATCATCTTTCCTAATTACTCCTAATTAGATCCGGTTGTCCAGTAATGAGCTGGTTATGCAGCCGGGCCCTCATAGCTAGATGGACACTTCACCTGCTCTTACGTAGCTGAGGTGGTGTCTCACCTCCAGCAGTGCCAGTTCCTCTCTGGTACTGATGATTGGTGGCTCTGGGATGACCTCAGACTTAATGTCCTATCTCACAACCTTTGTATCCCATCAAAATTCCTAATGAACCATCATCTTCCTTATC